TCTGAGTTAATAGTACTGTCCAGTGTGGCTTTGGTCTCTCATTCTGCCATTGCAAAAAAAAAAAAAAAATAGTTTTTAACAATATCCAAACTGTTGATTCTTTCAGTTCATCAAGTAGCATTTGAATTGTCTTTACACTTTACTAAATTAAATTGAATGACTAGATAGAAATTCGGGTGAGTTTTGACTTTTTAAATTTAGAATAAAAATTTTTATTTTGGGAAGAAAATTAGAATTGGTAAACAAGACTCTCAGTAGCATTTATTGTAGCCCAGGTCTCTACCAGGCAAATTTTTTGAATAAACTAGTTAGAATTGTTTTTTTAAAAGGAAAATACTGATTAAAGTATTGACTTAAACTTTCTAGTGATGAGAGATGTGCCAACTGCTTATTGGAATTGTACCACTCAAATAGTTGGCTTCTTGCTATTTCTTGCTATTTCCTGATATTTTATTTACAGTACTCAAGTGGTACAGGATTTGATAGTCACAAATGGTTAATGCAGGAGTTTGGTGGAGATGCTACATCAATGCTGAAGGAATGCTGTATGCGAAAGCATTAGTGACATTGCCAGAATTGAACAGAAATCATTAGCATCAAGAAGAAAATTTAACTCTTAGCACATTTAGTTTTTAAATGAAGTTAAATAATATTTAATAGGCATTTTATATAATTGAGCTTATGGAAGATATTTCCATTTGCGCCTTGTTTCCAATCTGTGTATAGAATAAAAAAAAAATGGGGAACTGTTCCTTTAACAAAATCCTGTTTACCTATCCTCTTCTAGTAGGAGTGGCTTAGGAACCTGTTGAGTGAGGTATAACTTCCAGCTCTGTATTCTGACCAGCATCCTTGGAGAGTGCTGACACTACAAACCAGGAAGTGAGAGACCTTACTTTACACTACATTGGAGCTAGTCTTTTAGAAGGAAAAGCTTCTCATAATAAAATCAGATGGAAGTAGTGCTTTTTACATAGGTGTCATGAAACATTTGGAACTCTGCTGCTGATAGTTACAGACTTTGCACCATACTTAGAATACAAAGCTTTCTGGGCCAGAAATTGATCTTCTGTCTTTTGAGACTTATCTGATTACCGCTTGGTTCATCTGTATTTTGTTAACTAGCCTGAAATGAGGAGACTCTCTTTTGTTTGCAGGTAAGTGGCCAGCTTTTGTTTAAAATGTTAAGTATTTTTTTTTTTTTTTAAAGATTCTGTAGGCATTTCTACAATCATGTCTGCAAATACAATTTTAACTCTTCTTTTTCAAACCAGATGCATTTTATTTTTTTGCCTTATCCCATTACCGCTTGGTTCATCTGTATTTTGTTAACTAGCCTGAAATGAGGAGACTCTCTTTTGTTTGCAGGTAAGTGGCCAGCTTTTGTTTAAAATGT